GGGACTTATTGAATACTGACAAACAATTGATATTCTACCATAGCATGTGCCTTGTGTTGTTCTATTCTTTGTTTTTCCCTCAGTATGACTATTTCATTGCAAATAATGATAATCAACATTTTTACAATAATTGCTTGAAATTAACACTTTATTAACATTATTCCTGAATGGTTTGACATAATATTTCATATGAATGTAAACATATTTATATTTCAACTTTATTAGTACATATTTCCAAAATACTTGGAATTCAATTGTATGTTGTTGGGGTTGAATTTCACCATTTTACAAAATTTTCCAATTTTCAATCAATAGATATAAAATTCTTAGATCCATAATTATATGATGCAAATGAAAAACCTGCAGAGTATAATTCTGGAGGTTTTATTTGCAATTCTTAGGATTCTAAAAGAAACTGCTTTTTGCTAAGGATAAGAAAACCTGCTTAAACATTGTTTTGTAATAATGTTATTCTCAAAAATTAAGAAGCAATAAGTGGATATCTCCCCAGGAATAAGCCTGCATAAGTTAATGCTACCCATTTCTAATTCACCTAAAAATCAATAAGATTCCCCAGATTGTATAATAAATGATGTCATTCCCAAAATGACTATGTTCAAATGTTTCAAAACTTTGTAGAGTGGACAACATAAACTGGAATGGCAACACTGGTATACCATTGTAATGTCTTACAAACTACATTAATATCTGCTTATGAATGAATTAATTCAATATACAATTTGCAGTGTTTTTACAATTTGTCTAGACAAATTGCAAACAGCTTAGTTAGTATCAGACATCTCTACTCTGAATAATATATTCAAAATGTGTTGAAATATTTGATGTAAAATAAGGTGCTTTACTTCATTTATATTTTAGATATCTTATTTTAAAATAAATTTAGCTATTTAAACTCATTAAATTAATCTTATAAAACTTATTCAAAAAATAATATTACTTCTCTAATGCATGGTGATAAAGGCCTAATCTACTCTAAATTTTCCCTATTTATTTCATTTTCCTCTGTTTAACTAGCTAAAGTAATTCTTTTCAACCTTTAATTGGCTTGGGTGGTAAATAGTTGTTAGAAATAGTATTTAAAATGAAACCAACTAATCATGACATGACAAATTTGAACAATTATACGGTTAAATTAGATGTAATAACAACCTGTAATTTCTAAAAAGAAAGTTGCATTTAAACAGTGAATTAACTGATTGTAGGCAAAACTTAAACAGAAAATATTGTCTTGATCATTTTTTTTATTTTTAAGTTTCAGTCAGTCATGTACTATATTTCTTAAAACAAACAAGACAAAAACCAATTGAAAACTAAGGAAAATCTATGATATCCAACAGTCAAATTTGTACAATTGTAATTTTCCTATTGTACTACATTAAATTTAAATATGAGGAATAAGTAATCAATTCTTGTATGTACTATAAATTTAACAATTCCATGTAACCTCTTTAAGTCTTATTATAATTACATTTACAGATAAGTAAAATCATCAGTATAATAATCATACTTTGCTACAAGGGATATTACATTAGCATATTATTTAAAATAGCTGTTAATTCAAAATATTTTATACTAAATTAAAGTAAGGTGCATATTTTTAAAAAAATATGTGATATGTCTTATAAGATAATTGCAAATCAAATAATTATCTAGACAGCCACTAACTTTGTGCACACTATATAGCTTATATGCTCGTAGTTTATAATCCTTTTATAGTTGTAATAAAAAGTTTATGATATGGTGGGCACATATTTTAATAATTTATTTATTAAAACCTTTGATAATCTTGATTTAACACCACCTGAAGTATTGTTCTTTTATTCACGAATTATGTCAATCAATTCGATGTTCCGTCAACCAACTTATGTTTAGATAAATTTACTTTATAAAAACAAAACAAATGTAATTGAATCGATCAAAATATACATATACATACCTACGGCTTACGTACATAAGAAAAACGCAATGCACCATGCACGATGCAGACACAGACAATGGCGAAGGTCGATGTTTCGCATTAATATGCAAAGTACTGAAAATGATTATGACCAAAAATAACAAAATTCTAATATTTAAAGGATTTACTAACCTTTTGTAGATATTCTGCGAATAAAGCAGATACTGAAACACGCAGATTGCTCTACCACGCCGTAACTAAGTGAATATTCATCACTATGTAAATAAATAAAAAATGAGCATCAAGCTTCAACAGATATTTTTTTTTAAATAAAATACTTTATTCGATTAATTAAAAGTAATGTTTTGTCAGGTTCTCATTTTAAAAAGACATCACTGTTGTATTGATTTTCTTCTCTAGCGCTATTGGGAAATGTTGCCATTATAATAACTCGGAGTAATCAATAAATTGGTATGTGTTTGTCCTTTTTGGCTACTTAATGAAATTAAAAGACATTTTTAAGCGTAAAAACAATTTATAACACAAACTAATTCGAATACGTATGTTATAATTTAATGAAATTAAACATCCAAGCCAGGTAAGCCAGCTCCACGCCAATAGAATTTTCTTTCAATGTAATCTGTGCTTATACAGTAATGGTAAGGGTGTGATTTGAGTTGTTTTAAAACAAATATTTTGAGATGATTCTTGGCTAATAAAGCCTTTTGGACTTTAGCTTTACATTTAAAGAATTGCATTTGACCATAAATAAAGGATTTCTGTCATGAGGGCGCCACAATATATATTCTCCTTTATAATTACAACATTCTATATTTACGTCAAAACATCTGACAAACTAAATTTAATTTAAAAGTTAAATCCAGTATTTTAGATCTTTTACATGCTAATTATTTTCTCAGCAACTATCAATATTTTTCAGTATTTCAACACTAAAAGTTGTTACGAACTCAAAAATCTACTGCAAAGAGTACTAAATCTAAAGTCATTAGTAACCAATTTTTATTTTTATAAAATTATTGGCTATTACTTAAGCCTAGATTATGCCAATTTAGTAGGCTACCGGCCTAATCATGCTCATTCAGCACTGGCACGCAACTGGCATAGTGTGAACTTTCCATGCCAGGCCATGCGGTCATACCAGTCCTCCGATATTATCTAAGTGTGCTGGTTGAATGTAAACAAAACTAATTCACATGGCACGGTGTTTTAGTTTCCTGATAAAAGGCTGTTTAGAAATATTGCTTCCGAACAGCCGTAGCTCATTCTAAGTTTGCGCGTATTTATCATTTGCGTTCAACCGTCATCTGATTTCTTTCAATGCATCTCATGGCGATATGTTAAGTCTTCCACATTCATATTGCTAGTATGCTTAAAACGGACAAAAACAATGCGTCCATGTCAACTCACTTCAAACCCTAAAACTGTCAATGTCAAAGTATATGTCAACGTGTTTTGTTTTCATTCCAGCAATTCGATTTCAATTTGTTCTATTCCATTTATTTGATTAAACGTCTCCTTCCACGTCTAATTTATCATTGTCTTACATTGGTAAATTACATATAAAAAATGACGTTTATACCCAACTGGGAAGAATTTGAGAAGTCTGCCGAGATGTTGTATTTACGTGATCCAATAAATACACGATACAGTATGAAATATTCCCACTCTAAAGGTGTATTTTTACTCAAAATTACGGATAACAAAAAGGTATATACAAAATAACGTCTATTTATGTTCTTACGATATGTGTAATGCACCTAAAGAACAGGCATTCTTTTTAGTAACATATGCCATATGAAGGGCATTGTTTCAATATTTGACAAATGTATTTCATACATCATTGTCAAATTGTTTATAAGTACTTAATACCATCCATGTTAGGAGCACTGGAAACCGACAAGCATGTATTGGTAGATGTATGTATTGTATTGAGAAGAAGCAAGGGAGGTGAAATTTTCGAATTTTGTACATAATTTACCCAACATTCTTAGGGTAAAGTAAAACATTGCTATGAAATTTGCACATATTGATGAAGAGATTCAAATATATGTGTGAAGTCACCCAATCTGTACTTGGCCAGTGTAGTTGACTATGGCCTAGTCACCCCTAACTTAGGATAGGCTCCAAGCCCCTCAGTGGGGATATATTGTGAGCTGGAGATGAAGAAAGTTGTATTAGGACTGCACTCAATAGATGTCTATGGTCGCTGCCTACCTGTCCAAGTTACATGCTTTAGTTGTGTTGTTGTATTGTTTGAGTATTATTTTTTAGGCAAAATGACATTTGTAATTTACATTTTTTTTTAAATTAACAAATTCTTATTTTCAGTGTCTCCAATATAAAACAGAGGTGCAACAAGATGTGAGAAAAGTTGATAAGTTTATCTCCAATCTCATAAGACATATGGCTTCTAATGACAATTAGTGCAATGTTAATAAAGTATTTTTATGTTTAACAAATTTTATTTGTACTGATGTCCTTTATAAGAGGAAAGAATTTTTAAGAAATTTTAAAGACATTATAATTTTAAGAAATATCTTAGTATTTCCATAATGTCAAAGTACCTACAAAATTAAACAATAAAGATATTAAAGGAATCGTTTTTTTAAATACTACCTTTAGGCAACTATATATATATTATTTCTACTAAGGGAATAGCCATGTGTTCATTAAGTTTGGCTAATAAACAAAATATACGTTTTTAATAATATAAATCTTGCTTTTTACTTTTGTAAGCGATAAACGTGTATAAAACATATATTTTTGCATAGTTTTGACATCCTATAAAAAATAATAAAATAGGAAAAATATTACAAACCCACGCTTTAATTTTTTTGTTTCATATTTTTTAATATCATCGCAATAGTACTGTTCAAACATACTAATCCAATTACAAATTATTACTGTGAAAAGGATAATACTTAAATAAATAAATAACGTTTTTATTCTGCTTAGGAAAAGATGTTCGTATTTAAAATAAAAATCGTTATCTGTTGAATTTATATACTCTTTGGTACCCACTGACAACTTTCGACAGAACTGTCAAAAATGTTGATGGACATTGGACATGTTATTTTACTGTCATGCAGTGTGAAACATAAATAAAGCGTATTAGTTTTCTATAAATCATGACTTAATACTCAGGCCTAAATTGTTAAAATGAAATAATATTTTTAAAAACGCAACTGCCACTTATATATTTCTTTTTAATTAATGACATTATGGATGGTTTAATTCACGCGGCATTGGAAGCAGAGGCAAGTGTTATAGTAGTTTATCAGTGTGTTTTCGAGATTTAAAATAGTTTATAAAATTATTCGACTAATAATATCTAAATTTCAGGTTATACTTAATCGGGTGAAACATGCTAATGCAAACTTAACACAATTTGACAGTGGTGTCCCAGACCATAAAATGACTTGGACCCATGAAAAAATACACTTAGCAGAAACAGTGGATGACAGCAGGATGAAGTTTCAAAGGAATTCAACTACTTTATCTACCAGTAAAAGCTCTGAAAAATTTGATTTATTTAAGAAACTTCATGAGTTGTATAATGAGTTAAGTAGAGATGAAGCATCACAAATAAATTATGTGAGTATTAATTGTAGACATATTAGATCTGTAGTATATTATTTCCTTTTCTTGGGAATCCTTTCACATATTTTCTATATTACTTTAGTCAATAAAAAAAGATTGATGATTGTGAAAAATATGTAAAAGATGCACAATTCTGCAATTAATTATTTTTGTTAATATTAAAAATTTTAAAAATTTAAAACTATTTTTAAGTCTTATTTCATTATAGTTTTTGTAAATATACAATTTAATACATACAGACAAATAGCAATACAAATGTTGTATTAAAAATATTTATCTAACTTAGCTGAAAGCTGATGCAGAAGATAAAGTTAAAGATAAGTGTAATCATTGTAAACATATTATACAATGCAATATTGTATTGTTTGTTTATTTATAATCACATATAGAATATGACATATGGCATATGACTTATAATACATTATATCGTATACCATATATACTACATATAATTAGTTAAAAAAAATATATATCTTGGATTGTATTTTTTTTATTAAACAAATGAATGTCTTATTTATAAAGAGATATAAGTTATTAATTATTTTTATTAAATTTTCCAGCAAGGACTTAAAATCACATCTTATTTATTAGAGAAGTTACTAGCAACATATAATCTCAATACTTTAATAATTAATTTATATCCTGGCAATAAAGGATATTCATTATCTTTAAAAGTTAATGGCAACACACAATATATACAACCTCCCGATGCAAATGTAAGTATTTACAATTGACCAACTCATATAGCAATAGTTTTTTAATTATAATGTTTAAGAGTAAATAAGATAAACATATACAGCCTTACAAATAAACACATTATATTTGGTACTAATATTCGCTTATACTCAGTTTGTTCCTAAATTTAACTTTATACCGCATTTATTTGTTGGACTGATATACTATTGGCAAGGTAATACTTTATATCTCTTCTATAATTCAAAAAATTACTGCCATAAATGATTTAAATGTTTAACATTAAGGTATTATTACATATGACAAAGTTTGTTCAATTCTTTAACACAATTATATGATTCCTTTGGCAACATAATAAACTAAATCTAATAGAAGAATTCTTATATACAGAATCTATGATTTATAATATTTGTATATAGGTGAAATTCATGGGTTGGTAGATGTGAACTCAATGTACCTTTTAACATCATTCAAATGCATGTCTACACAAACCATGTTATGGATATACAAGAATAGTTGTAATGAACTAAATTGTTATAACTAAACTATGTATTTTAATTGACTATTACTAGTAATAAAATTGTGTATCTATTGAACAGCAGTCATCTATAAAAATGTTTAATGGAAATTTTGTATGCATGCATATTTTTCAAAAATGTGTAGTATTTTGAAACTTAAATTATACTAAATACTAATGACAATTGTAGTATTTCAATTTATTCAATGTTTATTAATAATTTTATTGCAAAGTGTTTTAACCAGATATCAAATCAAGAGGAGACATTAATAGAAACACCTCGGTGGCCATACGAAGAGGAGGAATTGCTCAGTTATATAGATAATGAAGAATTACCAGTGGTTCTACTTGACCTGTTAGAATCGGAACACTCTTCACTTTTCTACTCAGGTTGCATTATAGCCCAAATACGAGACTATCGACAGGCATATCCCAGTTTTCTATGTGATACTCATCATGTTTTGTTAAGGCCAACTAATCAGGTAATTCTAAAAAAGAGTTTATAAATATTTTATTTTAAGTAATCATCTAACATTCTATAAAGATAAAGGCTTTATTTTATAAATATTTGTCCCAACATTCAAGTGTATATGGAAATGAATACAGAGTCAAAGGACACATGATATTTTTCTCACTTATAGAGGTTTCTCCTTTATGGAGGTCTTCCTTCTAGACCTGATATTGATCTTTATAAGCACAAGTTTCACTGGTTATAGTTGAAACCAGTTACATTGAAGGAATCAGTAGTAGTGGTGGTAATATGACATTTGCTGGGAACTACCATATCTCTATTATTTTTTACAACTAACATATTTCCCTTTTATTTATGCAGACACTTTAAAAACTATAACATATTTTGTTTTTTAAACAAATGTCTTGGATTCTTTTTTTTTTATTTAAGGACTATGTCCTTGTTGATGGAACAAGTTCAAATAGAAATATTTTATTGGTCATACTGTTACAAATTATACAGATATTCTGAACGAAAACTATGTATACATAAGTGTAGCACAAAAAGATCCTCGATGCCTATTTTTTAAAGTTATTACAGGGCCAGGGCAGAAATTGCCATTTTTTACAAAGGAATGTTTAGTGCGGTCTTAGACGTGCCATCGAAAAATTTTGACTGCGATTATTACGTCAATTCCATGGTGCACTTCATAATTTTTTCGTAGTGTTATTATCGACGTGCCCAAAATATTATGTCGTGTGTTGGTGACATGGGTACTAGTGGTTCGTTACCACTGTCTTATTGGAATGTACTTTTCCAGAGTATAATAACGGATGCGATGTGTATTGGGGGCAAGTGCGGGTGGTCTGGGGAGGAGCGCGGCGCGTTGGACGCGGTGGAGGCGGCGCTGGTGCACGCGGCCGACCCGCGGCCGGCGGTGGGCTTGCTGGCGGCGAGGCTGCACGCCGCACCTAGACTCTTCAATACGCCCAGGATACGACGGCAAGCACGACGGTTTTCACAGGTTAGGCTTTTTTATATTTTTTTTTCAGACATTTTTAGCACACCTTTTTAGGGACAAGATGTAGGTTTTCAGGTTAGCTGTATAATACACTAGTTGTTCTCGCGTGAATTCATCCATAATATTGTAATAATTGTATTTTATTAACATTTTGTGTTACTTTTATTATAAATGTAAAAATTCCAATGCACAGATGACAATGAATGCCTTTCCTATTGGCTAATAATTACTGTTACCATGGCAATCTTATTTTTGTCATTGGTTTGTTGTTTTTGTCCCTTTCTTTAATATCAATTTAATCTAAATTATTCATCCCCTAAATTAAATAGCCTGAAAATACATAGTCTGTAATATCTCATAGGTGAACTGGATGTAAATTGTTTTTTTTTTAATCACATTATAATATCCCTTTTAACATTTCAGGTGGCAGTTAATAGAAAAAGAAAATTAGACCAATTCACACACTACCATGGTTTAGAGTTATTGGAATTAATACATAGGCAAAGAGCGAAGAACAGACAAACCGTACCTCTTACTAGACTTACATCTAAATACCCTAAGAAACCACCCGAGGTAAGTGTTTTGTTATATTTAAATAAATTAGGTAAATCATATCTTTACCAATACAGTTTTTTTTATAATTTAAGTAATAAACCACCTCTAATATCCCCCATCATGTTGTCATCAAAATCCGTAACAAACTCCTGTCTTACGCACAAATTTTTATATTAGCAACACAAAATAAGTATTTTTTTTTCTCAACCTATACTAATATAATAAAGAGGAAAGATTTGCCTTCTTGGAATTTCGTATGTTTATGTATTTCATAGAAAGGTAATTTATCTGTAAGTTACATAGGATATATTTTTTAATTTCATGCGGGATGTCGCGAGCAACAGCTAGTATTAGATAGAGTCATTTCAATTTTAATGTCGTTTTAGGTGTTCAAACCTATAGAAGCACCAAAAATGGATCCAGTACCGTTAGTACTGCCGGCGGAGGCGAGCGCGCCGCTGCGGCTGGCGCGCGCGTACGAGCGCCCGCGCCCCACCTCCGACTGCCAGCCGCAGCTGGTGGAGGAGTACGTGCTGGAGACGGAGAAGACCTCGCCGCACGCCAGCGCTGGCTTCTTCCACATCAAACTCTCCATACTACAGCGACCGTCCGACCAGGAGTTCCTAGGAGAACTCTACGTTGACAGAGATCATGTTGAAGGTGAAAGAAATGGTTCCGCGTGTCGGTTTACATTAGGTAAGGTTTTGTACATTTGTTACATAAATATAAGTTTTACAAATAATTAATTCCATTTTTGTTACTATAATATTAATAAAAAATCAGAGCCACAAATTTTTATAACTTGGACCGATCGTTCAATGTTATCAAAGTCTGATATCCATCTTACTAATATTATAAATGCAAAAGTTTATATGGGTGTAGGATGTTTGTTAGAGTGTGTAGCCTAAACGGCTGAATGGATCTCTATGAAATTTGGCATAGATGTAGATGATAGTCTGGAAGGATGCATAGGCTACTCACTTTTTTTTAATTCCACGGGAACGGATTCGCGGGCGAAAGCTAGTTGGTTTATAATTAAAGCATTAACTGGAACATAATAGGAAATGTGTAATACGATTATTTTAGATATTGGCATTTTTTATTTACTTTTTTAAATTAGTGTATGATTTTGAATTTTAGGAACAAGACTCCAAGCCAATAAGTACATACAGCAGTTTACGGAGATATTTACAGAAGAAGGTCGTAAATCAGTGAGAATAAAGCACATAGTGCCGGGACAGCTGCCCAGAGTATCCTACACGGGTAGCATGAGAGAAATGGTAAACAAAAATGTAATGCAACTTCATTTTATTTTATTTTTATTTCTAATTCTATTATTAATTTCTTTAAAACTATCCTAGTCTTTTCGTTCATTTTCATTTTCTCTTTAATTTCTTAATTCTCCAGTTCTATCGTCCGTTCTTCAGAAATCTCTAAAATGCTAGATAATAAGTAATGTTTTGTTATTTTTTTAGGGGCAGCAACTATTATTACAACAAAGGGCAGCAGCTGTTAACAATTCTACCGTTCAAACGCACTCGACAACCGTCCCTGTTGTGTAAGTAATAGGTATCATATTTATATACATTAGGCATAGTGTGAGTACTATCCGGGAATTTTGCGGTGTTCTAAATTATACGCCAGTCATTTGAATGTTTTGTACACATTGAGACGACAGTAACCAATAAAACACAACTTTTAAATATGTCTGTAGAAAAAAGGTTGGTCAGATACATGGTTAATTGTTTTTTTATTATATAATAGTGGGCACAAATCACTGCTATTTAAATTGTTATTTATATATTCATTGTAAGAGGTGGAGTTTGCTTGTTGCAGGGAACTAGGATTTTTTTCTAAAAGTGGAACATCGCGGATTTTACTGACTGTACTTAATTTACATATAGTCTTAGAGTGTGTAGTTTAGTTTTCAATAGTGTAATTTTCCAGCCCGGATGTAGTGGACAAATTACAAAGTATACAGAAGATATAAGTAAATGTGACCCAAAAGTTACTGATTGCTTTACAGGACATCCGCGGTGGCGCCCACACCCAACGCCCAC